TGGGCGGCATGGATGATGTGCAGCTGTTTTATTACTTCTTTGAGTCTGAAGGGAGTCCAGAGTATGATCCTCTTGTGCTTTGGCTCACTGGAGGTCCTGGTTGCTCTGCCTTCTCTGGCCTTGCATATGAAAATTTAGGTACGTACCTTATTATATTTTTCAGACTCTGCATCTTTCAGATGATATTATTATATTCTGAAATTTTATGAAATTTTATAATCAGAAAATCTTTTTAAAAGAAAGGGAAAGGCTCAGTTTTCTCTGTTTTTTTTGTTCTTTTTTTGGTTAGGCTGGGAGCCAAAGCACACAAGTAAACCTACAGAGCAACTTACCTAGACCAAGAGCCTCAAAACCCATCAAAAGCCATACAAAGTTGATTAGTGTTTAGGTTTTCTAAGTATATTCTGTGTAATTTTCACTAATACACAGAATATAATTGTAACTCTGCACATTAAAGTTGCAACTATTTAACACATACTTTGTTGTAGGTCCACTATCCTTTGACAATGCACATTCCATTGGCAACAAACCAAAATTAAAATTGAATCCATATTCATGGACAAAGGTAGGTGTTTGTGTTTATGCCTTTGTATGTGATATTTAACAACTATTCAGGTTCTTATTGATGTAGACACGTGAAGCCTTGCTCTGATACCATGAATGAAGTTGAGGTTCCACCCCAAAACCAATTGGCTATGGGGGAGTAGCCCAACTCCTTATAAACCCAGGCTAGGTCCCTTAACATTTCAATGTGGGACAAATACTCTCAACACGCCCCCGCACGTGTGGCGAACTTTCAAGCCTAACACGTGGACAACACATATTGGGTGACGTGGGAGCACGTGTGGCCGTTGGGCCCAACACATGAAGCCTTGCTCTGATACCATGAAGGAAGTTGAGGTTCCACCCCAAAACCAATTGGCTATGGGGGAGTAGCCCAACTCCTTATAAACCCAGGCTAGGTCCCTTAACATTTCAATGTGGGACAAATACTCTCAACACGCCCCCGCACGTGTGGCGAACTTTCAAGCCTAACACGTGGACAACACATATTGGGTGACGTGGGAGCACGTGTGGCCGTTGGGCCCAACACATGAAGCCTTGCTCTGATACCATGAAGGAAGTTGAGGTTCCACCCCAAAACCAATTGGCAATGGGAGGAGTAGCCCAACTCCTTATAAACCCAGGCTAGGTCCCTTAACATTTCAATGTGGGACAAATACTCTCAACACGCCCCCGCACGTGTGGCGAACTTTCAAGCCTAACACGTGGACAACACATATTGGGTGACGTGGGAGCACGTGTGGCCGTTGGGCCCAACACATGAAGCCTTGCTCTGATACCATGAAGGAAGTTGAGGTTCCACCCCAAAACCAATTGGCAATGGGAGGAGTAGCCCAACTCCTTATAAACCCAGGCTAGGTCCCTTAACATTTCAATGTGGGACAAATACTCTCAACACGCCCCCGCACGTGTGGCGAACTTTCAAGCCTAACACGTGGACAACACATATTGGGTGACGTGGGAGCAGGTGTGGCCGTTGGGCCCAACACGTGAAGCCTTGCTCTGATACCATGAAGGAAGTTGAGGTTCCACCCCAAAACCAATTGGCTATGGGGGAGTAGCCCAACTCCTTATAAACCCAGGCTAGGTCCCTTAACATTTCAATGTGGGACAAATACTCTCAACACTTATAACAATGAGAAGAACAATATCCAAAACTTTCAGGTTGCCAACATAATATTTTTAGATGCACCGGTGGGCACAGGATTCTCCTATGCAAAAAATTGGGAAGGATATAGCAATCTCAATGACACATTGTCAGCTGCACAAACATATGAATTTCTTAGAAAGGTGAGACGATGCCCTTGCCTACGAGGTTTCTGCATAAGATCTAGTTCATGTGATCATCTTTCAAATGATTAAGAATGGCTTTTTTTTTATAATAAAAAATTGACATGATGGTTGTTGGAAATGAACATTATTTTATTGCATCTAGTTTAGCTACATCTTTGTTTTCACTATTGTGGGTGCAGTGGCTTATGGATCATCCCAAGTTCTACAATAATCCACTTTATATTGCTGGAGATTCTTATTCAGGCATAATTGTTCCGATGGTCGTTCAGGAAATATCGGATGGTAAGTTGGTAACCCTCTTAAGTTTTACCTTTTGTCAGTTTCAGCTACCAAGAATTGATTCAGTCTCACATGAAAATAATATTGAACATTTCATTCATCACCTCTTCATGCTCAATATAAGGCAAAAACAGTTTCATGAGGTATTGATTTTAATTTATTTTTATATTTATGTAGGTAATCAAGATGAACATGTGCCACCGATGAATCTCAAAGTACGGTCGCTCTTCAGTTTTGCTTCCAGACTTCGAATCTGCTTCAAAACGACCGGTCGCAAATGTCCAGCGACCGGTCGCTTTTAGGCAGATTCAAAATCATCCTTTGAGCGCCAAAAAACTTTGTATCCTTTTAGGTGAGCCATTTTTTCCAACAAACACAATGCCCACTACATAGCAGTCACTTATCTGTAGGTTGTGGCTTGCTCATTTTTGTTCGCACACATACACAAAAACAATGCCCACTACATAGCAGTCACTTATCTGTAGGTTGTGGCTTGCTCATTTTTGTTCGCACACATACACAAAAACAATGCCCACTACATAGCAGTCACTTATCTGTAGGTTGTGGCTTGCTCATTTTTGTTCGCACACATACACAAAAACAATGCCCACTACATAGCAGTCACTTATCTGTAGGTTGTGGCTTGCTCATTTTTGTTCGCACACATACACAAAAACAATGCCCACTACATAGCAGTCACTTATCTGTAGGTTGTGGCTTGCTCATTTTTGTTCGCACACATACACAAAAACAATGCCCACTACATAGCAGTCACTTATCTGTAGGTTGTGGCTTGCTCATGCGCACTCGCACACATACACAAACACAATGCCCACTACATAGCAGTCACTTATCTGTAGGTTGTGGCTTGCTCATTTTTGTTCGCACACATACACAAACACAATGCCCACTACATAGCAGTCACTTATCTGTAGGTTGTGGCTTGCTCATTTTTGTTTGTTATACTAAATGTAAACTTTGAGTCAGCATATCTTCCTTGTTTTAATGCAGAGTTACAATTATCTCTACTCTTCCATTTGGGAAAATGACAAAACTGTCCAAGATGCTCTTCATATTCAGGAGGTAATTAATTAGGTCATTCTAAATATATTCTTCAGGTTTTCTTGACAAAACCCTTTAATTTTGCTGATCTTAAATGACAATCAGGGAAGCATTACGGAATGGGAGAGATGCAATAAGACCTTACAAGAATTATATATATCTGATGTTTCCTCTAGTCTTGTCTATCATGCGAACCTAATAAAACAAGGCTATAGAGTTTTGGTTTACAGGTACTAGATATATGCATGCTGATAACTCTTTCCAATTTTCTTTTGTTTTAGTCAAAGCAGAAAGTCCATTTGGAGTTCTAATTGGAGGGAAAATTCAAGTACATGAATTCAAACATAGGCTTAGCTTTCTGTTAATAGAATCTCACACAATCTATTCATTCTCACATTACCATTTCTTCTGAACACAAAGCTTGTGTATTCACAGTGGTGATCATGACATGGATATTCCATATGTGGCTACTATGGCTTGGATAGAATCTCTGAACTTGACTGTTGACAGTCCTTGGAAGCCTTGGTTTGTCGACGGACAGGTTGCAGGGTTTGTATCTATCTCATCTTCTTTCTTACTTTGTGTTGAGCTCAGTCAGAAAATCAGATTACAATTATCTCATAGTTATGCCTTTTTTCTTTTTTGGCCTTTAGATACAGAGTGCAGTACACATACAAAAAGTACCAGTTGACATATGCTACTATAAAGGCAAGAAGCTTAAGAATGAACTTAAATATTTTCCATACTAGAATTTGCTTCAGCAAAAGCTGACTAAATTTTTTGATTTTTCAGGGAGCGGGTCACACAGCTCCCGAGTACAAACCTGAAGAATGTCATGCTATGATTAGTCGTTGGTTCGCATACTACCCTCTGTAGTCAAAATTTATGTTGGTGTATCCCAAATTAATAAGTCAATTGGTTCACTTCACAGCAAAGTTCATTAGTTGATGCTGGATTGGTAAAGCCTTTCCTCTGTGTCTGTTTGAGTCAATTCTTCAAAGAATGGCATGAAATCATAAATCAAATATCAGTTTTATGTACTATAAACACACCATTATTTAATATATATTCATTGTTAATGTGTTATGTAGTAAAAAAACCAAATATCATGCAAACAATCTTCATCTGGATGATCCTTTGTGAAGTCTTTGAACATATTAATCCAAGAGAGGAGCAGAGAAGAGTAAGTAGGTTGACTAACGGGTGGCTGACCATTAGTTGGACTTGGATCCAAAAATATTGTGGCTGACAAAACCTGGATTTTCTGCCTCCACGGTATGTTGGTTTAAAGAATCTTGAAACTTGCGATCCCCTGTTTCTTTTCCCTTATCTTCTTGGCCTGCATTTTCTTTTTCTTCCAATCAACCACGTCATACTGGTTGAGCTGAGAGCAGGCACCATACCTCGTTCTGATTAAGTCCTCTGCTGAACCAAAATCACAACTTCTTCTTCTGTGTTTTTTTTTTCCTGTTGAAATTTAGAATATCTAACAACCACAAGTTGAAAATCACACTTTCTTTGACTCTCATTTTAAACAAATCTTGCATACACAAGTTGAAAAATTTGAAAGGGACAAGTCACAAAAGCCAGAAGAAAAATACAATTCCCAAAATATCAAAATATATTCAATTTTTTTTTGGCTGATGATCATGAGGATTCACCTACTGTTCAATTATCCAGTCACTTCATGGCTCAAGAAAAAAACGAAATTCATTATATTATATATATATATCATTAGATAAGCGTAGCTGCAAGTACATCATCACCACCATGTTGCTACAAGCACTTCTTCTGGTGACCCTTTTGAACATCAATGTTGCATCATCATCATCATCCAATATCATCAAAACCCTACCCGGCTTTCGCGGTGACCTCCCCTTTAAGCTTGAAACTGGGTTAGTATTTTTGTTCTTATAACTATTATTTTCTACTCTGTTAAGTACTTTACATTAATACAAAAGATGACCATGAATTATATATTTTAAGGGTTTAATTATATAAAGGTACGTGGGAGTGGGCAGCATGGATGATGTGCAGCTGTTTTATTACTTCTTGGAGTCTGAAGGGAGTCCAGAGTATGATCCTCTTGTGCTTTGGCTCACTGGAGGTCCTGGTTGTTCTGCCTTCTCTGGCCTTGTATATGAAAATTTAGGTACCTGATTATATTTTCCACTCTCTGCATCTTCTAGAGGATATTATTCTATTTTGAATTTTTATGACTTTGGTGACAGACCACCAGAAAATCCCAACATAAATGAAAAATAAAAAGAAATTAAAGGCCTATGAGGTTTCCGCATAAGATCTAGTTCATGTGATCATCTTTCAAGTGATTAAGAATGGCTTTTTTTCAAAAATTGACATGATTGGTTGTTGGAAATGAACATTATTTTCCTGCATCTAGTTTAGCTACATCTTTGTTTTCACTGTTGTGGTGCAGTGGCTTATGGATCATCCCAAGTTCTACAATAATCCACTTTATATTGCCGGAGATTCTTATTCAGGCATAATTGTTCCTATGGTCGTTCAGGAAATATCAGATGGTAAGTTGGTAACCCTCTTAAATTTGACCTTTTCTCAGCTTCAGCTACCAAGAATTGAGAGAAGTGTCAATCGTGCAACCTTTAATTCAGCCTCACATGCAAATAGTTAGTTTCTTAGTTGTGTGGATCATGAGGTATTGATTTGAGGTTCTTTTTAAATTTTTTTATTTACTTTGATGTAGGTAATCAAGATGAACATGCGCCACCAATGAATCTCAAAGTACATTTTCTGCCATTACAATTTGAATGATTTCTATTTTGATGGTTAATTAATTGAAGATCATATGCCTGTGGGCCTTAAAAGTAGGCAGACAATAATGTTCCATATTTATTGGCTGCAGGGATATGTGCTTGGCAATCCAATGACAGATTCTGAAAAGGATGAGAATTCTAGAGTTCTATTTGCTTACCTGAAAGCACTTATATCAGAGGAACTATACCAGGTGAAATACACACTAATTTTGTCGCTTCTTGTCGGTTTCATGTTGAGATTAGATTCTGGCTCTTCAAATCATTCTTAACTATTCTGACTAAATCTTTACCTCAAGTTATATAGTGCTCTTGCATAGTCACTTTATTTCTTCCTAAAAGACTGTCTTTCTTAAATGTGGTTGTGATTTGTATATTTTGCAAGTCAATGAAAAGAAACTGCAAGGGAGACTATATCAATGTGGATCTAAACAACACGTTATGTGTGGATGATCTTGAACTGTACAACGAGGTGAGTGGAAAGAAAACAAATTCTTTGGTTTCTACAACTACTTGTCACTTTTAAGTAATGTACTATCAAAATACTGACTTCATATTTTGATTGGCAGTGTATTGAAGACGTAAATGATGTACATATATTGGAACCTGTATGTACTGTCCATTCGCCAAAACCAGCGCAGTCAAAGGGGTATGCAAATGATCGCACTAATAAGGACTCTGTAAATCTCCTCCTTTCTTTTCCTCAACTTCGTAGGCCATGGTGTCGGGTAAGTCTCTCTGCACACGCTGGCGCACACACACACATACTGTATAGCAGTAACTTATCTGTAGGTTGTAAGCTTACTCATTTGTGTTTGTTGTACTAAATGTTAACTCTGAATCAACATATCTGCCTTGTGTTAATGCAGGCTTACACATATCTCCTCTCTTATATATGGGCAAATGACAAAACTGTCCAAGAAGCTCTTCATATTCAGGAGGTAATTAATTAGTTCCTTCCAAAGATATTCTTCAGGTTTTCATGACATATCACAGTACTTTAATTTTGCTCATCTTTTTTTTTTTAAAGAATCAGGGAAGCATTAAGGAATGGGAGAGATGCAATAAGACCTTACAAGAATTCTATATATCTGATGTTTCCTCCAGTCTTGTCTATCACGAGAACCTCATAAAACAAGGCTATAGAGTTTTGGTTTACAGGTACTATATATATTGTAGAATACGCATGCTGATAACTCTTTCCAATTTTCTTTTGTTTTATTTGTCACAAGTCCATGTGGAGTTCTAATTGGAGGGAAAATTCAAGTACATGAATTCAAACATAGGCTTAGCCCTCTGTTAATAGAATCTCACACAATCTATTCATTCTCACATTACCATTTCTTCTGAACACAAAGCTTGTCTATTTAACAGTGGTGATCATGACATGGATGTTCCATATGTGGGTACTATGGGTTGGATAGAATCTCTGAACTTGACTGTTGACAGTCGTTGGAAGCCTTGGTTCGTCGATGGACAGGTTGCGGGGTTTGTATCTATCTCATCTTCTTTCTTACTTTGTATCAAGTTTAGTCAGAAAATCAGATTACAATTATCTCATAGTTATGCCTTTTTTCGTCTATTTTTTGGCCTTTAGATACAGAGTGCAGTACACATACAAAAAGTACCAGTTGACATATGCAACTATAAAGGCAAGAAGCTTAAGAACCATTATGAACTTAAATATATATTTTCCATACTAGAATTTTCTTGAACAAAAGCTGACTAAATTTTCTGATTTTCAGGGAGCGGGTCACACAGCTCCCGAGTACAAACCTGAAGAATGTTTTGCTATGATTAGTAGGTGGTTGGCATACTACCCTCTGTAGTCAGTAATTCAAATTACCAATCTACTGATAGATAATAAGTTGTTATGCTGAGTTATTCTTTTCCCAAAGCAAAGGTCATTAATTGATGCTGGATTGGTAAACCCTTTCCTCTGTTTCTATTCGTGTGCCATTAGTTTTCTTCAGCTCAAGGGTGAGAGTTCTTCACATGGCATAAAAACCACTCGAAAACGGAACGAAGTTATTAGGTTTTGATTGACTATTACGTGAGTAGAACCCCAAAATGATATGTCATGCTACCACGAATAGTAACAAGTAACCAGTTTTTGGCACGACAAACTCGTTTTTGCATTTAGGTGAGCAATTAGAAACAACGATTGAGCAAAAGGTAGCCGAGGAAACAAATTTCCTTCCTTCTTATTTTATTATGTCTTTATAGTGTTGAAAATATAGAATTCCACATCGGAAATTATAATAAGGTTTGCATAAGAATATAAAGGACCTTAAACTAAAACCAAGGTGAGCAGTATTGAAACAGAGTAATAAGCCTATAGTCTAAGAAAGTAATTGAAATCAAAGAGAACAATAGAGAAACAAAGATAACTTTGATAAAATGAACCGTCAGGTTCGAATCAAGACATGAGTCTTTTTTTGCATTTTTGTTGTTTATTTTTGCAAATTAATTAAGGAGGAAAGAGATTGAAAGCAAACCCCTTTTCTTAGCTAACTTATTTTAGTGCATTTGCAGACGTAGGTAAGTTGGCGAAAGCACATCTCTTCATACGTTAGAGTAATTTAGAATATCACTTTTTAAAAAATAATAATAATTTTGATGATGATGATAAAACCTTTACATGAAGGGTTCATATGAAAAACAAGTAAGGTTACAGCCAAGGAGAACAAAGTCGTTCATTTGTGATGTAATTGGCACCATCCTTGCTGACCATTCTAACTCATGTGCATTCTGCTTCTTAAACTATCATTAACGGTAAATGATACGTTGACCCCTAAAGAGGAAAATCCAAAGATAAAGTAGGAGAGATGAGGGAACTAATCATTAATTTATATCCTTTTGAGAGGAGAGTCTCCTTGTACACTGAGTTTACCTAATGTTCTATCAAACCACACATATACAGTCATATGATATGTACTATTAAATTTGATGAAGAAACCACTAATTTCATACTACATTTATGAAAGAAAAACCACTAATTTCAATTTAGTGCTTTTGTAGGCAATTGTTTACTCAATAGGCCAAAAAAATATATACAACTAAACTTTTTGGCCCCCTCAAATATAAAATTCTAGCTCCGCCCTGCTTTTGAGAGGAGGGTCTCCTTGTACACTGAGTTTACCTAACGTTCTATCAAACCACACATATAGAGTCATATGATATGTAATATTAAATTTGATGAAGAAACCAAATTTTTTTCGTCAATATTCATGTCTTCAACATCTCAAAAGCATCATCACCATCATGTTGCCGCTAGCACTTGTTCTGGTCTTCCTGAACTGTCACATTGTTGCATCCGCATCCATCATCAACACCCTACCGGGCTTTTCTGGCAACCTCCCCTTTAAACTTGAAACTAGGTTAGAAATGAGTTGAAGTCAGCCAGCATTGAAGAGTGTTTCTCGTATTATACATATACATATATTAGTTGTTGTTCTCCCAATATGAGTTACTAATACGTATGAAGTATGAGAGTGAAAATGATGGTTTTAATGACAAATTAAAGGTACGTGGGGGTGGGCGATTTGGATGATGTGCAGCTGTTCTATTACTTCATTGAGTCGGAGAGGAGTCCCAAGGAAGACCCTCTACTGCTTTGGCTCACCAGAGGTCCCGGTTGCTCTGCCTTCTCCGGCCTTGTATACGAAATAGGTAATTGTTATCTCACCTTTTAATTAATCATGTCTTTGTACTTCCATTACAACACCGACAATATAATATATACTGTTGACGTTGAGAGTAATATTGTCTTGCTGAACATAACATGCAAGTTAAACAAAAAGAGATTACTCTCGTAAGTAAGCGGGAAATCCCGCTTAGAACTAATTTGAAACCATTAATTGGATGTTGACTGGAAGGTAGCTGTAGATCAGAGTCAGGCATTATTGACTGGAAGGACTTTTTATGGCTTTAAATTGTTTATATATTGCCCTGAATTTTTTTGGTAGGTCCAGTAATGTTCAACTACGCAAATTCTAGTGGGAACGAACCAACATTTGTGTTGAATCCATACTCATGGACAAAGGTAAACCTAGCTACTACTTAATCTGTACTTCATTTGTCAAGAACTTTACCCAAATGCATTGGAAAATGTTCAGGTTGCCAACATAATATTTTTGGATCAACCTGTTGGTACTGGATTCTCCTATGCAAAAAGTTGGCAAGGATACGAGACCGGTGATATATCATCCGCATCTCATACCTATGAATTTCTAAGGAAGGTGAAAATTGCTTAAAGTAATTTTAAAAGGATTTAAAATTATATATTAAATCTCATTAATTAATTAATTAATGATAATTTTGTTGGGATATATATAATGGTGCTGCAGTGGCTTAAAGATCACTCTCAATTTCTGAAAAATCCACTGTACATTACTGGTGATTCATATTCAGGAATAACTGTTCCCATCATTGTTCAAGAAGTGTCCAACGGTAACTTTTTGTTGGGGATGAAGACTTCTTCAGCTATTGCATTAAATTATGAGCAACTCTTTTTTCTAAATCTAATTTGTTGTAGGCAATGAAGTCGGGCATGAACCACCATTGAATCTCAAAGTAAGAATTTCAATTTTTTTTTTTTTTGTCTATTTTTATTTTATTTTATTTTATTTTATAACTTGAGATACTTGTCTATCATTTTCGTCCTCCTTTTTTGCTTTTGCCTATTTTTTGGGCTCTTTGTCTGTCTGTCTGGTGCCCTTGTTTGCTTATCTTGTGCCCTTTTTTGGTCTTTTGGGCTGTTATAGTTGTTCTCTGCTCATTTCGTTTGGCCTGTAATCCTAATGGTCCATTAACCATCTTTGAATTTACAAGCAGTCTTTATACAAGCGATATTAGGGAAGGGGGAACCGAATTTAAGACTTCGGGTGTAAGGATAAATGTTTTTAACCATTTAAGTTACAAGTCAATCTTTAATTCTTTACCATTTTTCTAATGTGTGATTGGAATTAATATTTCTTGACTTAACTCAGGGCTACGTGCTAGGCAATCCATTTACAGAACCAGTGTATAACTCAAGAATTAAATTTGCTCACCGTATGGCACTTATATCCGATGCACTCTATGAGGTATAAATGTTCTCTAGTGGCTGGTTATATATGCTTTTTTTTTTTTTTTAATCATTTGATTTTTCTAACTCTTGAAAGAATTAATAGCTAGAGTTGAATTTTTGTCTGCGTGAAAGAAAGTGTTAAGTTATAAGTCTTTATATACGTGTGCTAATCCAATTAACAACCCAATGATGTTATAATTGTATCTGAATTTTAAAATTAATGACTAGAACAAATTGTAATTTTCGTACAAACGATGTAGCAAAAAAAGATAAATTAATGCTTAATTTGAGAGCTAATCTCTTCGTATTATATATATAGTCAACTAGAACAAATTGCAAGGGCGAGTATGCTCAAGTAGATCCAAGCAATGCACCTTGTGTGGAAAACCTCCAAGAAGTCACTGAGGTGAGAATTACTATAATGTCCTTGGTTTACATTTATTATATTTTAAAGTGTGATACTAAATATCGATTTACCACTCACAAATTTGCAGTGCATCCAAAAGATAAATCTTGCACAAATATTGGAGCCAAAGTGTAGTACTCTATCTCCAAAACCAAAAAGATTCAAATGGGATCAAAACTTTGCTGAAGAGGACTTGTTAGATGTGCTGTATTATTCTACGAAATCATGGTGTCGTGTAAATTTCTGGCTCACTTACTTTTGCACAATATATACTCTTATAAATTTTGGTTAAATAACAAATTTTAAATGGTTTGACTTGTTTTTCACTTTGATTTTGGAAATATTAGTCCAATAATTTAATTTAGTTAGCAATCAAGTCCAAATCCCTAAATACTTACAATTTGTGGTGATTGCCTATTGCCAAGAAACAAAGTTTACGATTTGGACTTGTTTAAAAACCAAACAAGATTACAAAAGTAAAATCGCAAAAATTCAATGATATACATCGATCCAAAGTGGAAAATGAGTAAAATTACAGAGACTAAAAATGTACCTTAGTCATATAAATTTATACATGTGTGCATGGCTGAACTATGTTCCATGCTAATACCTTACTACCCTCTATACTTGTTTGCAGAATTATAACTATGTCTTCTCCTTCATTTGGGCTAATGATAAAACTGTCCAAAATGCTCTAAACATTCGAGAGGTGTGTTATAATTTTGAGAATGGCAATGTTCTAAATACAAAAATCATAATTTTTTTTTTATTTTTAAAATTTCACTTAAAGTGCTCTTTTTACACTTACAAACTGCAGGGAACAATAAAGGATTGGGAAAGAGGCAATCAGAGCTTATCTAGCAGTTATGCACATGATGTGAGTACAAGTTTTGGCTATCATCGAAACCTCACTAAGAAGAACCTTAGAGCACTGGTTTACAGGTACACTAATATCCTCCACAAACGTTTGAGCAAATAGATAAATGAAAATTTCTTCTGTCTTGAAATATCAAAGTTAATTTGCAGCTTTTTTTTTCTTTTTTCTTCTTTCCTTACAGTGGTGATCATGACATGGTTGTTCCATATGTGGGCACTGAAGAATGGATAAAATCTCTAAAATTGAGTGTTGATTACCAATGGAGACCATGGTTTGATAATGACCAAGTTGCAGGGTTAGTTGCTACTTGCTACTTGCCACTATTTTTCATTTTTTATTTATATATGCAATTAGGGGTAAAGGATTTTCTCATATGTACATACAATGTCAAGGTGTCATAGGAATTCTAATCTGAGACCACTAGTCTGCAAGTCAATTCCACTGGACTAGACCCTGTTGACTGCCACTATCAATTTTAGTTAGCTGCATATATTGTTTCACTATTTTCATAATGTCACAAAAATTTCTAATTTAATTAATTATTTTTTTTTTTCAATAGGTACACCAACGCATATACAAGGAAAACGTACAGTTTGACATTCGTGACTGTAAAGGCAAGAGCTGGAAATCCTGTTTTAATTCTTCTCAACTATGTTTCTTAAAAAAACAAATATACAAAAAAACTTAAATAATGGATTTTGTTTGACGTATGCAGGGAGCTGGCCACACAGCTCCAGAATACAAGCCTGTGGAATGTCTTGCAATAATTGATAGGTGGCTCGCATATTACTATGTTTAATTAGCTCATTCAAGCAACTCCAACACACACATATATATATTTGTATTGAAAATTTGTCCATTTGGGTGATCTCTTGTATTAAAGAAATCCATAGTCGATTTCACCACGAAGTTAAGATATTTTAGTTTACGCATTGCAACATTTTTGTGCCCCGATTCTTGGATGTTGCAGCTGGTAGTGTTTCGGTGAAAAAATTTCAAAGAATATTGTCGATTGGATGTAGCTGTTGCGTGTCAATGTTACGTTTGTGTAACACATGTTCCTTCTTTGGATGAGAAATATGCAACACATGTTCTAGATGTATAATATCTTTAGTAGGACAGCAGAACATGAGGTTCAATCCTACCGTATGTACAAATTAAATGGAAAGTTCTGGTAGCTTCTGATGATATTGATCATGAAGTTTCTGAAAGCTTTCCTCTAGGACTCCATTAAAGAGCTCAATCAAGCTTGGAAATCACAGAAGGTAGAAAAGAGTTCGAGAGAGATATTTGATATTGAAGGAATGGTTTTCATTATCTTCCAAAGTAACAGTATCAGCTTATATATACATGTAGATCATTTCAACTTTAATTAACACTAACCAGCAGATTAACTTAACAAACTGCCAACTAACTAGTAATTGTAACTAACACGCCAGCTCACAGCTCACAATATACAACTAACAGCACATGGGCATAAGAGCTTTAATAAGGTGGTCTGAGGTGTAGGCTAACATCCCCCCACAAGCTAATGCTAGGAGAACTCAAAATTAGGTTGTCACGAAGATAAGAGAATTGAGAAGTGTGTAAGCCCTTAGTAAAGATATCCGCAAGTTGATTGCTGCTTGGAATATGAGATACCACCATATCACCACAAGTGACACGTTCACGAATAAAGTGAAAGTCAATTTCAATATGCTTCCTGCGTGCATGAAAGATAAGGTTACAAGCAAGGGCAAGAGCTGAAATGTTATCACACCAAAGAATAGGGGGTCGATCAAGAAACAAGTGAAGATCACAGAGAAGTTGTCGAAGCCAGGACATCTCAGCCGCAGTAATCGCAAGAGCCTGATATTCTGCTTCTGTAGAAGAATGAGACACAGTGCTTTGTTTCTTGGCACACCAAGAGATGGGATTATTGCCCAAAAAAACAACATAACCAGTCGTGGAACACCGATCATTCACATCACCGGCCCAGTCAGCGTCAGAATAAGCAAGATGAACATCACCAGAAGTGAAATGAATCCCATGAGTAAGGGTACCAGCAAGAAAACGTAGAACACGCTTCACAGCAGCAAAATGGAGCTCAGTCGGAGTGTGCATAAACTAACAGAGAGTGTTTACCGCAAAAGCAATATCAGATCTGCTGAAAGTTAGATATTGAAGGAATGGTTTTCATTATCTTCCAAAGTAACAGTATCAGCTTATATATACACGTAGATCAGTTCAGCTTTAATTAACACTAACCAGCATATTAACTTAACAAACTGCTAACTAACTAATAATTGTAACTAACATGCCAGCTCACAGCTCACAATATACAACTAACAGCACATGGGCATAAGAGCTTTAATCGGACCCCATACCATACGTACACTCTGCTTCATAATTCGAACAACACACCAAACTTTCTCCCGATTTATATTCGCTAGAATACATATTCAATCTCCTTCTATTGACACCTTGTGAAGTTCACTATAAATTGTATATCAATGATTCGTCAAACTCTTGAACAATCGCTTTTCACATGAGCTAACTCTGTCAAACTCTATTCTTTTCTAAACAACTAAATGTGACAATTGATTTGTTGAAAATGGTAAACTGATTTTGCTAAACAAATGTCATAAATAAAATAGGTAAGGAAATCATATGTATCCTTGTGAGAAGAGGGTCTTCTTGTACACTGTTCATCACGAGGCTACTTTCACCTAGTGTTCTTTGTTTCTTGGACTGAGTCCTCATGTTCTATATCTTTCCAACCCCCATAATGTACATTCACTTCATAAATGGTACTTGAAGAAGAAAACCTAACACATGCGTGCCGTCTCCATAAGTTCACAGTGGACCGCCAATTAATGGGTTTGTAACACTTGCCGTCTCTATAAATGGTAAAATTGCAGTTAACTGCAAAACAAAACAAAAACTATATGGCACAACAATATATATAGCCAGTCAATCCCCAGTGCAGCATCTGCTACATCATCACCATGTTACCGCTAGCACTAGTTCTGTTCCTCCTTTATTGCCACATCATCATCTAATATCATCAAAACCCTACCTGGGTTTCGCGGTTAACTATTATTTTCTACTCTGTTAAGTACTTTACATTAATACAAAAGATGACCATGATGAATTATATATTTTAAGGGTTTAATCATATAAAGGTACGTGGGAGTGGGCAGCAAGGATGATGTCCAGCTGTTTTATTACTTGTTTGAGTTTGAAGGGAGTCCAGAGTATGATACTCTTGTGCTTTGGCTCACTGGAGCTGGAGGTCCTGGTTGTTCTGCCTTCTCTGACCTTGTATATGAAAATTTACGTACCTAATTAAACAAAAAGAGATTACTCTCGTAAGTAAGCGGGAAATCCCGCTTAGAACTAATTTGAAACCATTAATTGGATGTTGACTGGAAGGTAGCTGTAGATCTGAGTCAGGCATTACTGATTCAACACCAACATTTGTGTTGAATCCATACTCATGGACAAAGGTAAACCTAGCCACTACTTAATCTGTACTTCATTTGTCAAGAACTTTACCCAAATTAATGCATTGGAAAATGCTCAGGTTGCCAACATAATATTTTTGGATCAACCTGTTGGTACTGGATTCTCCTAGCTATGAAAAAAGTTGGCAAGGATACGAGACCGGTGATATATCATCCGCAGCTCATACCTATGAATTTCTAAGGAAGGTGAAAATTGCTTAAAGTAATTTTAAAACGGTTTAAAATTATATATTAAATCTCATTAATTAATTAATTATAATTTTGTTGGGATATATATAATGGTGCGGCAGTTTGCCAACCGCACCACACCTTGTGGTTAAGAAATCAATAATTTCAACTTGCAGGAAAGGATAGCTTGCTTAGTTATCAAGCTTCTTTGATGTTGCATCATTTTTATAAGAATATTGTCAATATCATTTTTATGTTGGAAATCATTTAATGAAGTCCGATTTCGAATAAAATAAAATAAAATAGAATAAAATCCGTGATCTTTCAAAGTACCAAACCATGATGATAGGTGTTTGCTTCCGTTTACTCTCCTCTCTGTAAGTTGCTTTTCACAGGAGCTAAATGTGTATTATTATTATTTTTCATACAACCAAGGTTTTTTTTTCTATTTATTCATGAAAAACGGTAAACGATACATTGAGCCTAAACGGAAAAAGTCAAAGATATAGTAGGTGAAGAAAATCGTGAATACATTATGCATATATATCCTTGTGAGAGGAGGGTCTCCTTCTATCCACTAGTTTATTTCATCTACTATCTAGTTTATTTCATCTACTATCTAACCCTAAACTTTTTTTGTCAAAATTCTTGCCTTCAACATCTCAAGTGCATCATGACCATGTTGCCGCTAGCACTTCTTCTGGTCTTCCTTGACGGTCCCATTATTGTTGCATCAAAATCCACCATCGACACCCTACCGGGTTTTTCCGGTGACCTCCCCTTTAAACTTGAGACTGGGTTAGTAATTTTCAACTATTATTTTCTTCTCCACCTGTGGGTTATACGTGAAAATCCTAGGTGTTCAATTTTTCTCGTATTATATACATATGTAAATATCAGTTCTTCCCACTATGAGTCACTGATTGGTATGAAAGAAAAAAAGGTACGTGGGGGTGGGCGATTTGGATGATGTGCAGCTATTTTATTACTTCGTTGAGTCGGAGAGGAGTCCCAAGGAAGACCCCTTGGTGCTTTGGCTCACCGGAGGTCCCGGTTGTTCTGGTTTTTCTGGCCTTGTATACCAAATAGGTACATTATTATTTTACATATTCATCATCCTTTATCTTCATAACAACTACGTAATGTTCTCTTGTCATATACTTGTGTTTGTCTATATTGCCGAACCATGAATTTGGCCACACATTTAACAAAGTTGTCAAACAAGAGAAGATTACTCATATTGTTAGATCAGGGATTCTCCTACTTAGAATTAATTTGAAGCTATATAAAACCACTGTTAGTTAGATGTTGACTGTAAGGTAGAGCTATAGGTCAACGTCAACGTCAACGTCAACATCAAAAAATGGTCGTTGTATGCAAGACATTATTATCAATTTTATAAAACCTTATCTGAAATTTTTTTTTAAGTATGCAAGACATTATTATCTCCTCTATTGAGTAATGCTGCTTTTACCACATTTGTATACCACATTCTCATACCAACTTTATGTGGAAGATGAAATGAACAATCACATCCATTAAAAAGTGTCAATAACCTTGCATTTAATTAATATTTAACAAAGTTGCTATGCCCTGAATTTGATTTGTTTTGGTAGGTCCAATAATGTTCAACTACGCAAATTCTAGTGGGAACGAACCAACATTTGTGTTGAATCCACATTCATGGACAAAGGTAATTAATCCATATACTCATGTAGTTTAGTGGCAAAACTTGTAATTTGTCACTAAAATCTAATTGGAAAGTGTTCAGGTTGCCAACATAATATTTTTGGATCAACCAGTTGGTACTGGATTCTCCTATGCAAAACGTTGGGGAGGATACCGGACCGGCGATACCTTATCAGCAGCTCAGACCTATGAATTTCTAAGGAAGGTGAAAATTGGTTAAGTAATTTTAAAAGGGTTTAAAATTATATATTAAATCTCATTAATTAATTAATTTTATATCTATATATATATATATATATATATATATATATATATATATATATATATATATATATATATGTTGGTGCTGCAGTGGCTTAAAGATCATCCTGAATTTCTGAAAAATCCACTGTACATTGCTGGTGATTCATATTCAGGCATAACTGTTCCCATCATTGTTCAGGAAGTGTCCAACGGTAACTTTTTGTTGGGGATGAAGACTTCTTCAGCTAACTTTGGACTCTAGCGTTGTATCTTCTTCAGCTATTTCACTAAACTTATTTAATTAACTTATGAGGCAACTCTTTTTCTAAATCTAAACTGTTCTAGGCAATGAAGTCGGGCATGAACCACCACTGAATCTCAAAGTAAGAAGTAATTCAATCTGATTTTAAACTTGTTTGATTTTAGTCCTTCTCCTTTTGTTTGTGGCTCATCGTTTGTGCTCTTTGTTTTTGTCTGTCTTGTGCCCTTGTTTGGTCTTTGGGCTATTTTGAACTCAGGGTTATGTGCTAGGCAACCCATTTACAGAACCAACATATGACGTCAATTCACGAATTAAATTTGCTCACCGCATGGCACTTATTTCCGATACACTCTATGAGGTATAAATGCTCTCTAGTGACTTTTTTTTTATTTAGAAAAACCGATAGTAATTATTGATGAAACATAAAACTAGAAAAGAAAAGGAGAGTGTAAAATGACAGTGTAAAAATTACTTCCTTGATTTTCCTTAACTCTAAAGAAAGAAAATCGAGAGTTGAATGAATGTGTAAAATGTCTAGCAGCTCACTACAATTAACACTGATATTGTTCTTAATGTAACCACCTACACAAAACCTTAGTAGGTGTGGAATTCTATTCTATCATAAAAATGCATTAGTGTTATTAGTAGTGGAACCACTCATTCTATATTGTATTTTATTTTATCAAGTTTCCTAAGACTACTTTACATTCTTAAATAAGTGTGTTTGTGTGTTTGTGTGTTTCTAGGTCTTCACTCTAGAACACATTCGTATTATAATTGCATTTGAGTATGTATAATTTTCGTGCAATGACCGAGCAAAACACTGAAATAATGTCTGTTATTGGGCTTTAATTTGAGACCTAATCTCTTCGCATTATATATAGTCAACTAAAACAAATTGCAAGGGCGAGTATGTCCAAGTAGATCCAAGCAATGCACCTTGTGTGGAAAACCTCCAAGAAATCAATGAGGTGAGAATTACTACAGTGTTCTTGGTTTGCATTTATTATACATTCAAGTGTGATACTGAATATCGATTTACCACTTAAAAAATTTGCAGTGCATCCAAAAGATAAATCTTGGACAAATATTGGAGCCAATATGTAGCACTATGTCTCCAAACCCAAAAATATTCAAATGGAATCTAAACTTCGATGGCGATAACTTCTTAGACGTGCTACATCATTCTACAGAACCATGGTGTCGTGTAAATTACAGACTCTCTCTCTCTCTCACTCTTAGACAATACATACCCTTATAAATTTAGGTCAAATCACTTATTTTTGGTTCTTATGGTTTAACTCGTTTTTTACTTAATTCAGTTTAGTTAGCAATCAAGTGCAGAATTCTGAATACTTACATTTTGTGTTGATTGCAAACGTTTTGGAGAGACGAAAATGCCCTAAAATGTGGAAGTTGCCTGTTGCCCTGCCAGAATTTCATTTACAAAGTTTACATTTTGGACTTGATTACAAACCAAACAAAATTATAAAACTAAAATCGCCAAAATTTTAATGTTATACAACAAAGAGGATTATGAGTCAAATTACAGAGACTTTATAGTTATATATGTACATGACTCTGTGTGGCATGCTAATACCTTACTACCCCTACTTCTTTGCAGGATTATAACCATCTGTTCTCCTTCATTTGGGCTAATGATAAAACTGTCCAAAATTCTCTTCACGTTCGAGAGGTAAGTTATAATTTTGAGAATTACATTACCTATATAAAACTTTTGTTTACCATTACAACCTGCAGGGAACAATAAAGGGTTGGGAAAGATGCAATCAAAGCTTATCTAGCAGTTACGCATATGATGTTAGAAGTAGTCTTGATTATCATCGAAACCTCACAAAGAAAAACCTTAGAGCACTGGTTTACAGGTACACTAATTAATATTCTTAATTTTCTCCATTTCCAAATTTTGTATATCCGTAAAAATCCACACCCGTTTGTGCAACTAAACCGATGAATTACTGTCTGAAATATATCAAAGTTAATTTGTAGATTTATTTTTTCGGTACAGTGGTGATCATGACATGGAAGTTCCATATGTGGGCACTCAAGAATGGATAAAATCTCTAAATTTGAGTGTTGATTATCAATGGAGACCATGGTTTGTTAATGGCCAAGTTGCAGGGTTGGTTGCTACTTGCTACTCTTAATTTTAGTTAGTCATAATGTTAATGTCACTGCAATTTATGATATATATTTATTTTTTCTAATAGGTACACCAATGCATATACAAGGAAAGCCTACAGTTTGACATTTGTGACTGTAAAGGCAAGAACTGGAAATCCTGCTTAATTCTTGTCAACTATGTTTCTCAAAAAAATAAAAATTACCTAAAATAATGGAAATTAAGTTTTGTTTGACCTGTGCAGGGAGGTGGCCACACAGCTCCAGAATACAAGCCTATAGAATGTCTTGCCATGATTGATAGGTGGTTTGCATATTACTATGTTTAATTAGCTCATTCATTCCAATACTTTTGTGCCCCAAAGTCTTGGATGTTGCAGCTGGTACTGTTTTGGTGAATAAATTTCAAGAATATTGTCAACTGGATATGTAACTGTGAATGTCACTTTTGTATAACACATGTTCTTGATGTATAATTTTTAGTACGACAGACGATGGAGCACATTTTTAGTATAATCTTTAGTGCAAATTTGTATTGAAAATTTGTCTATTTGAGTCATCTCTTTTAAGAATATTTTTAGTTTACGCAAAGAAATTTGTAAAACTACTGTCACTTAGATGTCAATATCATTTTTATGTTGAAATTCATTTGTGTAAGATGTACAAGTTCTTGATATAATATAAGATTCATCCATTATATATCTAAATCTACCTAAATTATTAGAGCATTTCCAAAAATCTCTTTAAAAGCTTTGGGACACTAAAATAGGTGAGCCACATCAGCAAAACCTCCTCTAGCAGCCTTGTCTAACCCACTTACCAAATTTGGGACTCCTCATTCACTCTTCATAACAAACGAGTGAACTTTGACTCTTCATCGCATTTATTAAATTTTGGAGCAACAAAAGCTGTCTTGGAATAGTAAGAGCTTGCAAGAGGCTGAGTGAACAATAATGAATTATTATTTAAATATTGATTTGGTATTATTAAACTGAATTAAATTTTAGTGTTTGAATTAAAAGAAAAAGAAAAGTCAAACATTGAATTAATTAAATTGAGGAGGATGATGATGGTACAAAATATAGAAAACTAGCAAACTTTACCCTTCAAATTGTCATGCAGGTAGGGTTCGTTATTGGGCCGGCTCGGGCCAGGCCTTCAAGGGCTTTTTTATTTTTCTAGCTTGGCCCTAGCCTACCCATCGGGCCAAGTCTAAGCGGGGTTTTTGGATTCGGTCAGGCCATCCACGGGCTGGGATTTTTATTTTATTTTATTTTTAAGTTTTTTATATTTTTTTTATCAAGAAACATATTTCGCACCCATAAACATATTTCTTATCAAGAAACATCTTTTAGTATAGAATGTACTTGTGTGTCATGATCTAAAAAGTTAATTAATTTTTTTAATTGGGTCATGATAACCAAAACAAATTGCAAGGGTGAGTATACTAATGTAGACCCAAACGATGCACCTTGTGTGGAAGACCTTGAAGAAGTCACTGAGGTGAGAATTACTAGTTCTTGGTTTACATTTATTATTAAAATTCTATTTAACTGATGAAGATCGATTTGCCACTCTAACAAATTTGCAGTGCATTCAAAGGATAAATCGTGCCCAAATATTGGAGCCAAAGTGTAGCATTCGTTCTCCAAATCCAAAAGGTTTCAAATGGGAACAAAATTTGGATGGAGAAAACTTCTTAGATGTTCCTCATCATCATTCTACAAAACTATGGTGTCATGTATATTTCTATCTGATTTCTCTTCCACAATATACACTTACAAATTTAGGTCAAAATCGCACTTTTGGTTCTTAAAGTTTGACTTATTTTTCATTTTGGCCTATGTGTTATCCATTTTGGCAATTTTAATTCTATAGTTTTGTTTAGTTAGCAATCAAGTCCAAAAATCTAACATCCTCCCCTTTGGATTGCTTGCAAACTTTTTTTGTGGAGACAAAAATGCAGATGTTTTGGTTGCCTACTACCATGTCAGGATTTCACCTATGAATTTGATTGAGTTTTCGATTTAAACTTGATTGCAAACCAAGCAAGCGTACATGACCAAAATTCCGGAACTGAAATCATATAGACCAAAGTGGGAAATGAGTCAAATTTCATAGACTTAAAAAGAAACTTAGCCATATATTTATATATATACATGACTGAACTATATGTTGCACATATGCTAATATCTTGCTACCCCCTACTTCTTTGCAGAGTTATAACTATTTATTCGCCTTCATTTGGGCTAATGATAAAATTGTCCAAGATGCTCTAAACATTCGAGAGGTGCGCCCTTATTTTATAAAAATATAAAAGAAAGATTGCACTTCGAGGGACACATCATGCATGATGAGTGTCAGTAACAATCCAGATAATATATCATTTCAATTTAAGTTCTTTTACAATTACAAATTTGCAGGGAACAATAAAGGATTGGGAAAGATGCAATCAGAGCTTATCTAGCAGTTATACTGATGACGTTAGCTCTAGTGTTGACTATCATCGAAACCTCACCAAGAAAAACCTTAGAGCACTGGTTTACAGGTTCAATATTCTTAATTTTCTCAATTTTTCCAAATGTTTCCAATTTTTTCAGAGAGAAAAAAAAATGCTAGCAAATAGATGAATGGTTCCTCTACTCTAAAGATTAATTGTCAATGGGGTCTAGTCCAATGAAAAATGGTCTTAATGTGCAGATCAAATGGTCTAAAATTCGAACCCCATGATACTTTAGTGGTGTGTGTATAAAATACCGTCTTTTCTTGCTTGTACTATAAATATTTTGTTATCAAAGTTAATTAATTTGTAAAAAAAAATTCCGTACAGTGGTGATCATGACATGCTTGTTCCATATGTGGGCACTCAAGAATGGATAAGATCTCTAAATTTGAGTGTTGACTACAATTGGAGACCATGGTTGGTCAATGCCCAAGTTGCAGGGTTGGTTGCTACTATATATCAATTTCACTTGATCATGATTTTACAATTCATAATTTCACTGCAATTTCTAATATAATTAAATTTGTGCTCTTTGTTTTTTAAAATAGGTACACGGAAGCATATACAAAGAAAGCGTACACTTTGACATTTGCGACTGTAAAGGCAAGAACAGGAGATCCTGCATAATTCTTTTCAAATAAGAATTAAAATAATTAATGGGGAAATAAGTTAATTAATTTGATGCGTACAGAGAGGTGGCCACACAGCTCCAGAATACAAACCTCTGGAATGTCTTGCCATGATGTATAGGTGGTTTGCATATTACTATCTTTAATTAATTAGTTATCAAGGTTGCATGAAAGAAATCACTTGGATTGGATGTAGGTGTTGCATGATTGTCAAAACCATTTTTCCTAAAGATAAAAAAAGTTGGAACTCATATTTGTGTAATGTTCCTGAAGTATCATTAGTTGAAGACGATACGAAAATTCATCTTATCATCTAAACCCCATTAGTATCCTAATAGTAGATTGTTACTAAGCAGTTTGTTTACGTTTTTTCTTTTTTCTTTTTTCTATAAGCGATATTGGGTGATGGGGGATTCAAATATAAGATCTCGAGTGCAGAGATAATCGATTTTAATCTCTTCAGCTACAAGCCTCTTGCAAACAGTTCATTAATGGGCATTCATTGTGTAACTGGACTAAACCAAGTGGTCTTAAATTCAAATTATTATGTCAAACATAATTCTTATAAATAAATAAAAATTTACATGTTTAAACAATGAAAAAAAAGTAAACCAACACCAGTTGTGGAGTTGGATTCTCAATTGGCTATGGAGCTTGTGAATGTTCTCAGTGGTGATGTTCAGTCTTCTATCCAGTTGCAAATCTATTATGGCTGGTGGTGCTTTTATTCGGATTACTAAGCCTTTGGGTCTCCATATCTGCTGTTAACAAGTTAATTTTCAGTGATTTGTGTAGGGTTTCTACACCCAGGTTTGTTGTTTTTTTTTTTTTTGGTGGTCTGAACCCAGGTTTGTTGTTAGTTAGTGTTTGTGTTGGGCATTAGCCCTAGCCCCTAGGGCTAGGGGAAAAAAAACGAAATCCCTAAGCCCACCGAGAAAAACCGACCGACGCCTTTCTGGTCATCAGCGTTCGGTTCTACAACCGACTGATGCCCTCTCGGTTGCAGTTGAAGTATCCATTTACCTAAACCATCGGATACTGAACCGAACCGACTCTCTCTCACTCTCTCTCTCTCTCTCTCTCTCTCTCTCTCTCTCTCA